CACTCATTTGATTGGCTTTCGATTTGATGATAAACGGACTTAAATAGACATAAACTTTCATCATAATAAAGCCGACAATGATGTTTTAATTTGCATGTGATGCGAGTTTACTTCATATAGGATGGGATCGGGTGATTTTTATCTTTCTCTTATATAACCGACCCCTTACCTAACTCTAAGCAAACTAATCATTTGGGTTTCTTAATAACCATTAATACTAGATGACAATTTTGCTTTTGGATTATATATATATATATATATATATATAAGAGATTTATTTTGATTTCAATGTCATTTTACTTGAGAAAATTCTTCATCAAGAACCTTTTTTATCTTTTCATTTTTAAATCCCATATTAAAATGTCTCAAATTCAATCAAAATGAATGTAAATAAAAGCACTTCTTACTCTTTTCCTTTGCGAGTAAATTATAAATTAGTTTCTTTACGCTTGAAAAATGAATTAATTAATATTTTTTTGAAAAAACTAATTATTTAATTTTTTTAATTAGCGTTGATCACACTTAACATAATATTATTATATTATATAACAAAATGTTATTTTTTAATCAATTCTTATATATTATTTATTTACTTATTCTATTGATTAAAAAAAATAAGTTATAAAAAATTAAAATATAAAGACTAAAGAATTAGTTGTTGGAATAAAAAAATTAACTAGAGAAGAAACTAAAGGGACTACTTTATAATTTTCTCTTACTTTCGTTCATTTCACAGATTCATTTGACCATCTTGAAACGGACGTGTATATAGGGCAGGACAGTACAGTTGCAAACTTTTGTGAACCTTCTGTTGCAATTTGGAATTACATTTGGGCTTTTGGCCACATATAATGCGGGGACGGCGGCCGTGAGTTGGAAAACGTGCAACTTTGGAAGGATGAAAGTAATGGGGAGCCGCCCGCGGCGTTTTAGATAGTGAAACGACAGCTAAGATCTTCGAGCAAGGAAAGTCTGTTGACCATGACCTTGGTAACTCTTGTTTCTGACATCACTGCTTTTCCGCCAGTTAATATTCTTGGTTCAGCAACCTACGGATCTTGCTGTTCCTTTGTCTGCCATTAGACATTTCTAACATCTTACCTCTTGTTTGGATAACTCTTCGTGCGAGGAAAGAAAAGAGAGAAAAAAAATATATTCTCACTTATTGTTTACATAACAATGAAAAAAAAGAAAAAAAAATATATATATATTTTGGATAATTATAAAAAAGGAAGGAAATAAAATGTATTATGGTATATTTACTATAATACCTCTATGATTATATTTCTATATTTAAATATTTATAATAAATTTGTATGAATATTTTTTTCATGAAAATAACACAAATGATAATAAAATAAAAATCTAGCATGTAGCATATATATGAAATGATAAGATAGATAATGAATCGTCTCCATAGAATAATCGATAACTATTTATTAATTAATTAATCCAATAGCCAATTTAGATTAATTATCAACATAAAATTAATTTAAATATGTATAACATATATTATTATCTATGCATATAATAAGTTAGTTGCTTTTACTCATCATTTTCTCCGTTTTTTTTTTAGAATAAACAATTACTATTTAGCAATTAAACAAAAAAAGAGACTAGAAAGAGGGTTGCTTGCCCCCCCCCCCCAATTAAGCATTAAATTGAAGGAAATAATTCGAGTAAATACTACTACTATTAAGTCTCACTCTTAATTAAATTTCTAAAATATTAAAAAATTCTCATTTGGAAAATTTCCATCCAAACTCTTCACAAATTTCTAACAATAACATTAAATTTCCTACATAAAGATGTCACTTATTACTAAAAAGAAAACAATTTGAATGGAATTCGTGAACGAAATTGGATAGAAAGACTAACATGAGAATTCACGAAACTTTAGCAATCCAATTGAAATAAAAACAATTTCTTGAGGACTTAATCGAGATCACAATGGCCGTTGGTTTTCCTTTTATGATTAAACTCGAAAATGAATACTACTACTATTAAGCACACAAACCGAGGCTTACTTCTCTTCTTCTCTTTGTATCAACTTTTACGGATTCCATTGTATTTGTTTTTTGTGCATTTTCATCATTTCGGTTTGTTTCTCTTTTGTTCTTGATGTACAAAAGCTTCCCTTTTGAAGTCTTGATGATCGATACTCTTCGAGGCCTTACTTGCATTCATTGCTTGCTATAATAATCTTTCGGGTTTTCGTTAATGGCTTGATTTTTATGACATCCCGAGTTACTCCTCTTTCATATCTTATTTGAAAACAACTACTCATCTCTCGCTTTTGCTCGTTTTGTTCTTTCTTTTGGAAAAGAAAATTGAAATTTTTCTACTTCATTTTTGTTTTATTTTTCTACTTAATTTTGCTTTCCATTACCCCGATCTTGTCTCAATCTTGAAATGAAATCCGCCACCTCCTCCTCCTTTTGAGTCGAGTGGTTCTTGGGATTTTTTGATCCTAGTGATAATGGTGAGAGTTTTAGATTTATGGGGCATAGTGACTTGGATTTGGATTTTGATGATTTGAGAGGGTTGAATGAGTTTATTGGTGAAAGGGTTGGCGTTGAACATAGTATGGTAGATGCAAAAGGAAAATGGACAAAAGTTGGTTTAGATGGAAAGAGTCGAGCACGTGAAGAAAGCTGTGAAGCTTGGTGAGAGAGAGGAAGTGGGTTTGCGGAGGCGAGATCGACGGAGAAAAAGAAGAGAACGGCGAGCAAGGGTGGAAATGAAAGATAGGGTTTGCGGAGACGACTTTCAAGGTCTGTTTTGGTAACGGATTCAATGAGAGAGATGGAGTGGGTTTGTGAGGCGAGATCGACGGACAAGCGAAGGGAATGGCAAGCAAGGGCGAAAATGAAAAAAAAAAACAAATCGCTTTTCTCTCGTTTTCCTCTCTGTTTCCTCCTAATTTTGGGAGGAAAATGGGTCCCACCATTTTTGCGTTCTTTATTTTTTTTTTCATTCCACTCGCTTTCCTCCCTCTTCCCAAACGACATAAATATTTCTTTTCACCCCACTTTTCTTTCTTTTCCCCCACTTTCCACCCTATCCAAACAAGGGGTTAGATTAGACGTACCGATATTACTTGTTTCGTTGTCTACCATCGGATATTTCTAACATGATCGGACGTACTTTTTTTTATTCTCGATTTTTTCGTGTAGTAAGTTTTATTTAAAATCCAAACTATAGCTGGTAAAGGTAGTTTACAAGTCCTCTTTATAATTGCATTGTTTTTTTTTTAAAAAAAAGGCTAAATAGATGATTTTTCTTTCTTTCTAAATTTGAGTTAAATTGAAAAATAGTTTTCGAACTTCACATTTTGAGTTTAACATTTCTTGAATTTTTTTTAGTCCATTTATGATTTTCAATTGTCACTATCACTTCTAAAAAATTTAATTCTTGATATTTTAGTTGAAATTTTACACACAAGTTGAAAAAAAAATCAATTTAATTTTGGAAAAAATCTTCAAAATTTTCAAGATCTGGTAATATAATTTTGATTTTCTAAATATTCAAAATATAGAATATAAAAAAATAAATAATAATCCAGAATAATCCTAATTTTTTTAGAAAGTTACAAATAAATATTATTGAATGATTTTCATCATAAACCTATATATGAAGTTTAGGGATTGAGTTTCAAATGTATTAAAGTTTAGGAAAGGTTTAATCTATTTTGAAAAATATTATTGAACCCTCATATTGCTCTATTTAAATTTAGTATGCATTGTTTCGAGTATGGATGATCTATTTAAAATTATTACAAATCTAATCATTTATTACTTTATAATTTTAAAAATTACACAATCAAGTATAATAATGTAAAACCTTAAGTGATTAGCTTAGCTAGTTGTTAAGCAAACTTGCTTTCTTTTTATTTTATTTTATGGGTTTAAACTTTAGAGTTATTATTTAAGAAAATGTATTAAATTCATCTGAATGCATCAAACTAATATAGAGGATGCTCTACTTAATTTCATCCAAAAATAATTTAGTATCAATTATGTCCAAACTAACAAGAAAATACTATTAGGTCAAACAAAAAACATAGTATTGTAATGGACCATTGTATTATATGATTTATAATTGTCAATGATGGAAAAGCTCGAAATGCAACATTTTGTGATTGAAGGGAAGTTCATACCATATCCTTGGATTTTTTTTAACGGGAGTTTATTTAGACCTTGAACTACGTAATAAGAGTTAGTCATTTCCATTATATAATGACAACAAAATAAAATTAAGGTATTTGAATTCAAAACTCTTAGAGACGAGTCTATAGACTCGATAAGAGTTGAATTAGTCCATGTAAGAACCAAATCATCAACATAAATTAGCATATAGATTCAATGCATGTTTTACTTGAAAAATAAATAAGGATGAATCACTTAATTTGTGATCTCTTTTAAGTCCTATGATAATAGAAAAGTGGATAGCTTATGAAACCAAGCTCTAGGAACTTGTTTGAAGCCATATGGAGCCTTGTTTAGTTTGCATACATAATGTGGATGTTTATTGACAAACCCCGTGGTTGCTTCATATAAACCTCTTTTTGTAGATGACCATTAAGAAAAGAATTGGATATAGTGAGTTGCCATGAGGTCCATCGATTGGTTGTAGCTAAGACAAGCATCCTTTTGAATTGTAGTTTTGATAACTAGACTAAAAGTGTTTCGTAGTTTACTCCATATTCTTGAGTGTATCCTATAGCAACCAATTGAGATTTGAATATTTCAACTAAGCCATCGACTTGTTGTTTGATGCAAAACACTTATTTGTTGTCAACAATATTAGTAGTTGGGGAGGTGGCACTAATATCGACGTGTCATTATTTATGAAGGATTTTATTTTAGCACGCATTGCATTTTCCATGCTTTGAACTTGCTAGTATGAGTATAATATATAGGTTCAACACTAGCGCTTATGTGATAGTGGAAAAATAAGCTTGTTTGATCCGACATTATAGAATGTGTCCATTGAGGTTGCTAAGCACGAAGAGGCAAAGCCGTTGATTTATCATTAAGATCCATCCATAAATTGATGCCATTTGGATCACAATGATATTGATGTTGTTGGATAGTCTTTGTAGTAACATTGACAATAGAAGGATAACGATGTTGTTATTAGACATGTTTGACAAGATCACTAACAATGGGAGGATAATGATGCTCGCTATTAGACATGTTTGACAACAACACCGGCGAGCAGGAGGACAATGATGATGCTACTCGCTTTAATGTTGGAACAATTGAAATAGATGTTGGAACTACAACAATATTGTTAGAACAACGAGTAGAATAAAAACTTCCATCGAATTCATTATGAGTCGAAGAAGTCATATTTTGTGAAGTCAAATTATACGGTTCGGATGAAAGGACATACCTCTACAAGGAAGACAAGAGCTAAAAAGGTATAGAGGTCGACATTGTGGCTATGGATTCATATTCTTTGGAGTAGAAGTATCCATAGCTGTGGTCGAATTACTCTTATAGAGAAAACTAGATCTAATGAGTAGTATATGCCTTGCAATATAGATGCGATTGGTATCTTTCTCCAAAATTTTACACCCCAAATGAGCACCTATATATATATATATATATAAACGTATTATTTGCTCATAAAGAAAAATTTATGTGCATTATATAGGTGAAAGAGAGAGGATAGATAATACAACTAAAGAATTTGATATTATTAGGGATCATGAAATATAATTATAGGTAAGGACACTCATTGAGAAGAACTGCAGATGATCATAATATGTTTATTAAATAAATTATAGTTTGAAAAGCAAATTTCCAATACATAGAAAAAAAAACATCATTATGGACAAGTAAAGTTAGAGCATTGTCAACTATATATATGTTTGATTTTCCTTTTTGATGTTCCATTTTTTTCATGAGTTTGTAGACATTTTAATTTATGGTAAATCTCACATTTCTAAAAATGATTATTCAATCATCTATATTTACTCTCGGAATCATATTAAAATTTTTTTTCTTACAATTAAATTGGCGTTCAATGTAATTCGAAGCTTTAAAAATCCATCATAGTCATTACTTTTGAATTTAAAAGGAAAAAACCAGGTATATTTATAAAAATCATCGATAAATAAGACAAAATACAAAAAATCAATACTGGAGATAATTGAGAAAGGACTCTAGCTATTAAAGTGAATAAACTCAAAAAGGAAATAATATAATTTTTTTGTAGATGAGAGACTAAGCTTAGTACTCTTTCACATGTAGCATGAAGCACATTTATTAGTTAAAGATAATTTACTAGAACGAGGTAAAGAGTGCTAATGGATAATCTTTTTTCACAAATTCATAATGTGGATGCTTAAGTCATGTATGATATTGATCCAAAGAAGCTTTCTCGTTGATATATACTCGTAGAGAAGAGGAAGCACTTGAACTCATATAGTTACACAACTTGTAAAGGCCATTCTTAGTCCTATCCTATAAAAGCACTTTCTTGGTAATCCGGTCGTTCACAAAACAATTATGAAGGTGAAATTTGAAATAACAATTATTTTCCTTATTAAATTGTTGAACGGACAATAAAGTTTTAGTAATTGATGGAACTCTAAGAACATGTTATAAATTTATTTTTTTTTACTTGGAGAAAAAATAGTATTGAAACCAATATGTGATATAAATAAAACTTGTCCATTCCTAACTAATAATTTATCGTTATCCTTATAGTCATTTGAGATACTTAAAGTAGACAAGTCTAGTGTGACATGATTAGTTGCTTGTGGTATTAGGATACCAAGCTTGCTAGTTGGAGACAAGTAGATATGTTGGCACTTGGAGTGGGAAGAAAAAGAGGATAATTTGTTTTGCTATTATTGGGAACATTATAAAATTTATAGGTGAAGGAATTGTGGTTCCTTATGCTGCACTTTGGCAAGGACCTTTGTTGTTTTTCCTTGGAAAATTTGGCCTTGAGTTGTGATAATTTTTATTGTCAAATTAACCTATTGTTGGTGTTTTAGTTGTTATTCCCATGATTGTTCGTTGATTGAAAGAGTAATAATTGATTGCACTAGAAACATTGGATCTTTGAACAATCTTAGCCTCTAGACAAGAATTATGAGTGCTATGAAAGAGAATTTTATGTGACTAGTAAGTTATGAATATCATAGAAAAAGATAAGTTTTAGGCATGTATTAAGAGTAATAACAACATTCTTAAATTCACTAGGAAGTTGGTGAAAAATAATGGCATTAGATTTGGTTGAAGAGAGGGGCTTACCTACCTAAACAAGTTCATTAGATATGGACTTCATCTTGCACTAGTATTGAGAAAATACTCATGTCATTTTTGGGGGTTTTCTAAAATTGAATGTGTAGTTGACATTGCCTATAGTAAGACATGGATCCAAAAGCCTTTTTCGAGATGTCTATAAAGTAAAAAAGGAGGATAAGCCAACAACATAAGGGAAAACTTCTTTAAAAAAGAAAGTTGATCCTGATGAAACTAGATTTCATAAGTAAGATTAGGTTCCATGATCGAGGTAGTGAGATTCAAAATCTCCATTAGAGGTTCTTACTCTTTGCTATTGGTGAAGTTAATAAGTTTTTAAGTGTTAAGATAAGGGACAAATTGAGTTTTCCATGTCAAATAATTGGCGAGGGTGAGTTTGATAAAGAAGGAATGATTTGATAGTTGTGGAGTGAAGGAAGAGACGAGAAGAAGAAAGGGTTCGACTCTCGGTAAGAACAAAAGAGGAAGAAGTGATGAAGATCATTATGGATCCGATACCAAGTTGAAATTAAAAATTAGAGTTTTAGAAAAAATTTACTTTCTCTATCCCAAAAAAATTGTTATTCTTTCTATTTATATCTATCTCAAAATAATTTCTAGCCAAAACTTTAAATATTGTAATTTCTAAAATACCCTAGTCAATTCTTTCATCCATTCTTATTTATTACTAATAGAAAACCAATATTCTTTATGCTTTCCTTCTACACATACAAATATTTTTAACATAAAAAAATTCAAAAAAAAAAAAACTTTTTACTACATAAAAACTATTCATTCTTCTAAAAAATTCATAACAGCTTGTAGAATATCAAGATTACATTTAAGACAAATTGGAAGTTGCCCTATATGCTCAAATTTTTGTTTGCTTAAATGAGAAATTTTATATATGTTCCCACTAAATATCTAGGTTTCATAAATGAAAACTATTCACTATTTTTTGAATTAAAATTTTATGAAAAAAATTAGGATTCCTTAATGGTATTTAAATATTTCTAAAATTTTTCTAACTTAAATTTGGAAGGGACAAAATTTTTGATTTGGCGCTTTGATTTTAAAACTAATTTTTTGGAATAAAATTTCATGAGAAATTTAGGAGGGTCAATGATCTTTAAATCTTTCTAAAATTTTCCAATTTAAATTTAAGAGGGACAAAAATATGGATTTGGTGCCTTGCTTTTTAAACTAATTTTTTGGCTTAATATTTTATGAAAAAAATTAGGATTTATTAATAATCTTTAGATGTTTTTTTTAAAATTCAACTTAAATTTGAAAGGAATGAATATTTTAATTTGACGTCTTAATTTTAAAAAGACTAAATGATCTCCCTTTCTTTTAGAATTTTAAAACTCAAATTTAGCAGCATGCAATGGTATTTTAAGAAAAGAAAAAAAACAAAAAAGCTAATGTGTTATAACAACTAATATTTTTCTCAAAAGAATAAAAGAAGACTAATATATTGGGACATATGAAATAATTATTACTGTATTCATTCTCTACGAAGGTATATATATGGAGATACGAGTTATAATACTATAAGTTATATTTGGATTATAAGTTTTGAAATACTAACTAAAATACAAATTTAAATCATATTAACCAAAATTTAAATTTAAATTATACTAAATAAATACATCTTTAACAATTTTGAATTTTGAACTACGTAATAAAAGTTAATTCTTTCAATTATATAACTGTAATTAAATAAAATAAAAGGTTTTTTTTATTTAGTATTTCAAAACGATGTCTAGAACTATATCTTGAACTATGTCTAGAATGTTTTCATAAGTGTCCTGTACGCTGCCAAATTCTTGAAAAGTTCGCATTTTAATTAAGCCGACATTTCTTTGGCGGCTAGCTAAATAGGACCCGCCATGCCGGACCCTTGGTACAGTTACGTACAATGTCATAGAGTCAAACTCTGACTTCTTCTATTTCTTTTTTCAATAGAAAACATTTCAAATCGCACACCACCTTCAATTATAATATCCTATTAGACAACAAGCACTGTCCGGAAAAAAAAAAATCTCTACAAGCCGGTAACATTGCTAACCGGTTTTAACTATCGCCAACATACTGGCTAGTTTCTCCTACAACATTCTTGATTTTCCTGTCTCATTTCTTATCTGGCTCCTTCAATTCATTTTGGTACTCAGCTCGAGGAAAATTAGTTTGGGCTCTAATTCCCCGAAATTCTATATTTTTCCTATCATAAGCTCTAGCAGCATCCTCTGCATTATCAAAAGTGCCGAGCCACAAGCGAGCCGCTCGCCGTGGGTCCCTTATCTCCGCTGCCCATTTGCCCCACGGCCGCTGCCTAACTCCCCTATACTTGTTCTTCCGTTTCTTTGTGGTGCCCGCGTTTCTTCCTTCTTGCCCTTGTTCTTGTTCTTGTTCTTCTTCTTCATTAGTAGGGCTGCTGGAAAAATATTGGCAACCAAGGCATTGATAGGTATTCAATTTGCAAACTGGACAAATGTCAGAATCTGGAAGGTATATTATGTTGCTCCCACTTACATTACCATCATTAACGGCTAGGACTTGCTGTTGGTCTTGGTCTTCTTTTGGGCCAGAAGAGCTGTCATCAGTACGACCTGAGATTACGTGCGTAAGAGCTGATACCATGGCGTTGTGTTCGTGTTGTCGTCTTGGAACTAAAATGTTTAACCAGGAGGCGTCCATTTTGTTTTTGGTCTTTTAAAAAATATTTGGATTTTGAGAGATGAAGAAAAAAGTTGGGATTTCTGTAACATAAAAGAGATAGAAATTGGGATTGCTTTTTTTGAAAAGAGGACGAGAGGGAAGTTTTTGAGTGGAAGATGAAGAGAGGGAAGTTTTGAATGGAATTGATATATATAAAGAAAAGATTGATTGACGACACTACGTGGAAGGCTGACGATATAACATTCTGCCAGTGTGCATTCATCCACAGCTGTTCATAATGATAATAGCCACGTGGAACACTGTTTTTACGCGGATAGATATAGATAGCCACATTTCCTTCTTCAGACATGGGGGTTAAATAGTGACCTGATTAGTCCCTCTATTATGTTTATTTTTGTTGATCAATCCCCTTATCAATTTAATATCCTAATAATGCCCTTATACTGTACTATTTTCTTTTTCTTTTTCCATTAATGTGACATTACTAATACTCTAAAACACAAGCCACTTTCGTTGTTCAATTCATTGTTCCTTTCACTATTCAATGAATAGTGTTTTATCTTGATTTTTGTTTTTTCTAAGTTGAACCTAGCGAGTCAAGGCCTGGTACAACTAGACCTAACCTCTTTTTTTTTTTTTTAGATGATTTTTTTTGCCTTTTCTATTATTTTACCCACTCTAACAATTTTAAAAAAAATGTCAATGTGTTAGAAATAATAAAAATGTGTCAAAATACTTAAAAATCATGCAAAAAAAGAAGAAGGGAAAACTATGTCACATAATTTTTTAAAAATTTGTGTAAATGATATTTTTTATTTTTGAAGGTTTATGGAGATCAAAAAATGAATTATAACAAAACTAAAACATATTACTATTAATTATCATAAAAAACACTAAAATAAAATGATATTTACTATTTATAACATTGTTCACAAACCCATAAATTACTATTCACACACTCACAAATCATTATTTATGTCATTTTTGTAACATTTTGATCCTCAATTTTTCTATAATTTTTTTCTTTTCAATTTCAAACTTTAATTATATTGTGATTTGGTCCCATTTTGTTTTACTTGTTTTTTGTTAATTATTTTTATTATTTAAAATTTACTACTTTAATTTTTCCTTTTTAAAAAAAAAATTTTCATCCAATTAATTTAAAATTATATGGTCCTCAATATATATATATATATATTTCAAACTTTAATTATATTGTGATTTACTCCTATTTTATTTTAGTGTTTCTTGTTAATTATTTTTATTATTTCAAATTCACTATTTTAATTTGTCATTTTTTAAACTCTCATCCAATTAATTTTAAATTATATTTATTGACATTTTTAATTATTTTAATATTATTCATTCTTTTGTAAATAAATATATAAATTTTAAATTCATATTTTTTTCAAAAATCGATATTCTCATCAGCATTAAATAAAAATAAAAAAAAATTATTTGTTCAATTCTATGTAAGCTTTTAATAATTGTTATTTTTTTTTTGACACAATCTTATGAAATACTAAAGCTTTTTTAAAAAATTTATTTAATTTTCTTTTTGGTTAATAATCTATGGATTAACAAGGATGAATCCTTTTCTAAAGGAAAAATTATGAAAAACATAAATAAAAAATAGTTAAATACATAATTTTTTTATTAAAAAGTTATAAATATTTTTTTTCACATTTGATTTAATATATTTTTATATATTCATACCATAAAATAGACTATCAACCCGAAATGATTTTCTAAATAATTTTATATATTTTATCTAACCCACAACATAGGGTGGGTAAAAAATTTAGTTCCGTCTATGTTAATAAGATTGAAATTATCTAGGTGTCAACTACTTGATATATGGATATTAAAATATTTTTGTTTAGATAAAAAATTGAAAAGCTTGCATCTCAAGCGGCCAAAAAAAAAAAAAAAAAACAAGATTAGAAAAAAATTTATGAAAGTATTGAAATAAATTAATTAAGAGCTTGTATGGTATGATATGCGTCCTCCAAAAATATCTGGTGAGTTGCTTTTCATCTTCTCTTTATATATATTTTTACGTCCAGTTAGGAGAACACGAAAGAAATTATATATTTCAAAATGAATTCAATATATAAATAGGTTTGATGAATTAAATTGAGAATCAAAACGAAAAAGTTCGTCAGGTTTGGTGCATGAGAAATTCCCACGTAAGGATGACTGTTGAGACATCATCCACAACGTTCTCGTGGTAAGACCTCCAAACGTTAGAAGAAAGAAAACTCTTTTCTAAAAAGCTTAATGTTTGAAAAAAAAAATCACAAATTATATACGTTTTAATGATTTTAACTCGTTTTTTAAAAATTGTATAAAAAAATCACTAAGTATCCGATAACAATACTAGCATCGATCTAATTTTTCCATTAAAATTTCGATCAACGATGACATGAGAGGTGACGAAACATGACACGTGGATTTTAACAAGCCATGTAGAATCCACATAAGCATAACATGTGGACTTCAACTAGCCACACAAGATCTATGTAATTGATTTTTCATGTCATTGCTTACATAGATCTACGTGGCTTGCTAAAGTCCACTTGTCATGCTTACATAACTTACTATGTTAGCATTGATTGAAGTTTTGGTCAAAAAATCGGATCGGTGCTAGTATTTTTATTAGATGCTTAGTTGGTGACCTTTCTATACAATTTTTAAAGAATGAACTAAAATTATTAAAAAGTATAGAGTTCATGATTTTTCGAAATATTAAACCTTTCTAAAAAGCAATTTATAGATTTTCGATTCAGATGAAGGCAAACACTACCAAGTGTTAGTTGATACCTTCTTAAAATAATAATAATGATGATAATGATGATGATGATTTTTAGTACTTAAAATTGAAATTTTGCATGCATGTCATAAAAATCCAATCAATTATACGCAAAAAAAAAAAAATTTTTTTTTTGAAATCCCAATATATATATAACTCTCCTTTCATCCATAGATTAAAAGAATGAGACTGTGTAAAAAATAACCAATTTTCCTACTAATTTTATTTGTTATCCAAGAAAAGATTTACCCTTCTAAGCTACCATTTCCCTTTTGGATCTTGGTCTTTATTAATTTTCAAAGTTCTTATCGTCAAAAAATCATCTTAATCAAAAAATTTAAGTCGATGGGTTTGGCTCTAGAAATGTTTTTATATTACTTTCTAACACACTCCCTCAAGTGAGCACTTCCTTAAGTGTTATATTACTCTCATCTGCTACATGTTGGATAATAAGCAATGGTTTGTTAGTAACGATTCTAAATCCATTGCTAATATCAAAGCATGGCAACAATTTTACGATAGTTTAAAACTGCTATAGTAAAATTATGATTTTGCACACTAATCCACATAAACCATTACACAAAGCGCTATATTTGTTTTAAATAAGTTGCGGCTTATCAAAATCGCTACATAACAAATGTTTCGCAATGGTTTAGAACCGTTACATATAAGATTTTTGAACTCCCCCTCAAAATTTTATCAACCCACGAAACACATCTCAATTCTCTCTCTCTCTTGCTCTCTTAGTTTCTCAATCTATCACTTGATTTTATTAACCTTTTGTTTAGATTTAAGTCTAGAAAACTATAAATCGGGGAAAAAGTTCTTGGTTTTTCGCTAAAGGATTGGGTGGAATTCTATTAGGAAAAAAATTCTATCTTTTTTTTTATTATTTCATCTTAGGTATGCAATTTTCTTTCAATTTCTCTCCCTAAGTCATGGTATTGTATATATATATATTTTAATTTCTCTCTTTAGGACTAGGTATTGGATTTCTCTCTTTACTTACTAAATTTCTACTGCTTCGAACTTGATTTTCATGTCTCTACATAGTGTAAGTGATTGATTTTATTCAATTTCTCTCTTTAACAAATGATTTTTCGCTTACTAATCTCATATTTTGCTGATTTTCTCTTTTGGGTCGATTTAATTTGTGTCTTTTGTTAATAGGTTGTTGAATTTTAAGTCGATTATTCCTTTGCTTTTTATTTTTGTGGGTACGTAAATCTTGTATTCGATTTGGCTTTTTGAACAAAAGGATTTGAGGATTGAAAGACAAATTATTATAAGCTTTGTATCGATAAACAAAAGTTTGTTTGGGTTCATTTATTATATGGATATCTTGATGTTCTATGATTTAATGATTTTTTAACCTCTATATGCATTTGTGATTTGATGTAAAGAAAGCTTGCATTTCTTTCTATGCCTAAATAATCAATAACTACGGTATGGCGACTTAATTCATGTCACTAAACTATAGTAATGGATGTTTTGATGAACGAAAGCTCGTTTTTCTTTTTATGCCATTGTGATTTGATGGATTTTCCGACCTCTGTATGCATGTGCTCGATATCTTCTTCAAGAAATTTAGCTCCATTTCTTAGTGCTTTAATTGAAAACAAAAGGATGTAAGTAGTTTCCTATATTTTGTTGTATTTCTCAAGATATTCTTTTATTCCTTCATATGAGTGGTTGTACTTGTGTGAGTTTTATAACTTGGTAGGTCTCTACTCGCTTTGCTTTTTCCGAACTAAAGTAAGAATTTCTTGGTTTTTTTCTAACGGTGATTAAATTTCATAGGCAATAAAGTATTTTGTATTGAAGAAAGGAAAGAAACAAAGTCCTAAGAGGAAGAAAGAGAAGCGACCATTATGTCCAGCGAGATCAATCTCAACTTATTTGAGGATCCAATAATAGATAAATGGAGAGAAACAACAATCACAAGTGGAGCAAGAACAAAAGGTGCAAAAAAAGGTGTAGGTTGAACAATAAAAGCAACAAGTTATATATGAAGAAAATCGAATTCCGAATTGTCAATTTAGAGAAATACACAATCGGTAGACTTTAAAATTCCACAAACTACAAAAGAATTAATGAAAATACACAAGAAGCAAGTATAGTTATGAATTTAAGATATAATATTATGAATATTGATACAATTTGCATTACAAATTTTATTATTTTTAGTATAAGATCTTCAAGTAAA